AGAGGGGCGTGTGGTTGGCCAGACCTCCCAGGTGCTCTGCCTCCCCCTGGAGAAAATTGCCCAAGACTCCTGGGCTGGAGTAATAATACCCTTGATACGGCTTCCCCCACACTGAATGAATATGCACTCACTGCGTGTGAGTTGCTTTAAAGGTTGCTTTTAATGCTGCATTTGTTCAGCAAATGTAGGCATTCATATTGCACAAATATTAACTCCTAAATTCTCCGAGGCTCTCCCCAGGATATGCCACCTGGCAGGCATTATCGTAATCAGCCCTGTATTATCCTCCCCACGGATGGAGGTCTAGCATGACATTGGTAGTTGAAAAACACAGATCATTCAAACACCACTCAGGCTGTGCGGCGCTGCTGCCCCATCCAGGACGCATCCAAGGGCAGAAAATATTGAGTGATGACAGTCTCCTGCCTTCCCTGTGGAGGTACGAAGACATATTCTTTTTGTCAGAAACTCGAGCCGTGGAAGTGAAAGGCTCTTCGATGGCAATTCCGTTTTCTGAGTCAAGGAGTCTGTTTTGCCACGGAGAGGCCAAAGCACTGAGGAGATAACCAGCCAGCATGTTCAAAATGCATCTGCAGCCTGGAGCCGGTGGGTGCAAAGCCTGGTGGGGTAGATGCTGCATGGGACTGGAGGGACCAGTGGGTGTGGACGGCAGACACTTCAGATCTGACTTCAGTACTTGCTGGGTTATTTGAGACGAGCCAGTCTGGCCACCCGTGAACCTCAGAGTGTGCTTTCCACCCAGCGGCACAAACGTCCCCTGGGAATTTGTCAGAGATGCAGGGACCCCAGCCAGCCCTCCCGAGTCAGAGGCTGGGGGCGTGAGGCAGGCGGCGGGCTGTAACCGGCCCTCCAGTGGGTTCCGATGCCCGCTCCAGCCCAAGCACCCCTGCCTTCCACGAAGGGCTCAGCTTTCTTGTCTATAAAAGAAGGCGGCTGGTCTGGGTTATATTGAGGTCCATGCCAGCTCTCCAGTGACCTCGGCGTTTGACCCTGGAGTGGGTTGAACCATTCTCTGTCTTAGACCTTGAACCTTCCCGTGGATGTGTCACTGAAATGATTCAGCTAAAAAAACTGGCATGTGGGTCACAGCAGAGAGACCAATCTCCGGAACGCGACACCCAAAGCCCACATAGTGGGCTCACGATGCGAAAACAAATTGTCCTGTCTTCCGCGGTTTGTGTCCCTTCCCCAGAGCGGAGAGCCCCGGTGCTTCGGAAGGGCGGCACCGCTCCCCGTCCTGTAGGGGCTGAGGGCCTGTCGGATGTGATTCATGGAGCGGCATTTCCGCAGCAACTAACAAATGGCATTTCAGAAGGATGGGGAGAGGCATGCAGACTGCGCTGTAAAACAAGGGAAAATTTTGAGCCATTTATCAAAACTCACGCAGCTTCTATTTCACGACAGGTGGGGAAAATATCACAGACCAAGGAGAGAAAATAAATGTGTACCCAAAGCATCTCATAAATAAGAAAGGGGGCGGGGGGGAGGGACTGTCAGCCTGGCTGGGTTTTCAGAGTATTTTTGTCACTGTGTAGAAAGCTTTCCAGCCTTCCAGCCTGTAATCCTTGCAGCCTTCCTGCGATCAGAATTCATGGTTGTAAAATGATTTCACCGGCTATTAAAACCAAAGGAGAAAAAGGAAGCAATGATTTCAAGGGTCAGGGGGCTGGAAAATGGGACCTGGAGTTGAAAAAGAGAGAGGAAAAATAATAATTTGTTGTCGTTGGACAATGCAGTGATGCTTTACAGTTTAGGGCAAGTCCCGGAAAAATCAAATGAAATTTTCCAACTGACTTTGGTTTAGTAGCAGCCTGTTTGCCAGAGACAATAGGAATGGTTTGTTGAACACGAGAGAGGCTTCGGTCTGCCATGTCTGGGTGGGCTGGAGAAATTACAGCTTTCATCCCAAAGGGCGGGCAGAGAGAGGCCCACTTTGCCTGAGCGGATAGCGTGGACCGAGGAGAACCTCAGCAACCGAGGACCTCTTCGTTGGACATCTTCATGACCTTCAACAACTTGAAACTAGAATCCTGGCTAGGAGTCTGTACTCTGAATATTAACTGACCCCAGAGGCATGGGTTCATTTCTGGGCTCCCTGTTCTGCTCCTTTGATCTGCGTGTCTGTTTTTCTGCCAGTACGATGCTGTTCTGATTACTGTGGCTTTGTAGTATAGTTTGACACCAGGCAGCATGATTCTCCAGCTTTGTTCTTTTTTCTCAAGATTGCTGTGGCTATTCAAGGTCTTCGGTGGTTCCACATACGTTTTTGGAGTATTTGTTCTAGCTCTATGAACTCTGTATGACTTTGGTATCTTGATAGGAGTTGTGTTGAATCCACAGATTGCCTTGGGTAGTATGGCCATTTTAACAATGTTAACTCTTCCTGTCCGGGAACACAGTGTGTGCTTCCACTTCTTTGCGTTCCTTTGCATCTTCTTCAGTTCCTTTCTCCAGTGTCTTATCATTTTGCAAGCACATGTCTTTAATTCTTGGTTAAATTTACTCCAAGGTATTTTTTTTATACCATTGTAAATGGGGTGGTCAAATTCTGGCTCCAAACTTTGGGCCAGCCCCTCAGACACCCAGTGCCTGAGTTTCTCTCTTCGTCCCAGGAGGATAATAATGATAGAGCCGACTTTATTGGAGTTTGATGAGGATTAAGGTGCTTTGCAGAATGCCTGGCACAGCCCAGGCGTCCTTTTCCTGGGACTATTTGCTGAAGAGCTATATGTGTCTTTAAAAGAATCCTAAAAATAAATCATACTGTTCCTTAACCGTAAGGCCTTTGGAAAGTAGCAGTGCCCTATTTGGTGCCCCCGATGTGTGCCTACGGGGGTGTGATTGACAGAAGGGGGCTTCGAGGGGGTCCTGGGGGCAAACTCAGGTAAGACTGATGACTCGAGGGCCTGCGGGGGCCCTTTCCTCGGCCAGCTTCACGGACACATCGCTTTGGGGGGGCGGTTCAGCTTAGACAGAGAACAACTAATTTTTGTCACTGGATTTCCCTCTGGGTATTTATTTGTGGAAGAGGCTCATAGAGCAACACTAGAAATAGGTCTGAAAAACATGCCGTGTTTCTCTCTCTCTTCCGCCTGACACACTTCTCTTTGTTGGCCGGACCGTGCCGCGTAGCAGCTAGCGTTGATCAGCCTGTGTTTCCCCCAAATGAACTTCCGTCAGGCCACGCAGGGTCTGAACGCTGGCAGCGCTAACGCAGATGCTGGCAGCACGGAACAGGCTGGGGATGGGGTCTCGCTGGAGCTGCGGTTCCCTCGGCCATGCATCGGGGGCCGCAGCGCCCGCTGCCTGTTGACTGGATGAGACGGTAACGTGAACAGCATGGATGCACTCAGCAAGCATTAGCCTTTTAACATGTTAGCTTCTATTCATGAAAACCGAATGGATCAAAGTCAAAATAATACATTTAAAACATGTATAATGAAATGACAGCAAACTCACAATTATTAACAACCACACCTAAAGCAAAACCAAAGGAAACTAAGCAAACAACTAGAACAGGAACAGAACCACAGAAATGGAGATCACATGGAGGGTTAGCAACAGGGGAGTGGGAGGAGGAGAGAGGGGGAAAAGGTATGGAGAATAAGTAGCATAGATGGTAGGTAGAAAATAGACAGGAGGAGGGCAAGAGTAGTATGGGACATGTAGAAGCTAAAGAACTTATGACACATGGACATGAACTAAAGGGGGGGAATGTGGGTGGGAGGGGGTGTGCAGGGTGGAGGGGAATGAAGGGGGAAATGGGACAAATGGAATAGCATAATCAATAAAATATTTTTTAAAAGAAAAGAAAAGAAAAAAATAATACATTTAGGTGTCATGGGAGAAGTTCCACTATTTTCCTCTAAAGAACTAACATTAGAAAAAAATTAATTAGCCAAAATTTCCCTGGCAAATCAGAGAGCCAAACTGCTTATTCAGAAGTGTTTAGGCACAAAACAAAAATACGTCGTTTCATACAAATTACCTATATTATGAGGTAAAAGCAGTTAACATTTATTTTTCTGCTCTTTAACAAAGTAATGAGTTCTCTTAAACCATCCACCACTCAGATAGGAATTTTCAGAACAGATACGAGTGGTCGTTTTTGACGATTAGCAGGGGAGAGTGGGTGTTCACTCTGGACAAGAGTCTGGTGGTGTCTGCTGGGTGACCTTGATCATGGGGAGAACTCGCTGGGCATGTTTGGAACTGTCCTTCTGCCTTCCTGGTTTCCGCCCCGTGGACGCGGACCCCGGGCCAGAGCGCCCCCCACCCGAGTGCAGCCAGGTGTCAGGACCGTGTGGGCGTGGGCTGACTGTCAGCTGCCTGTGCCCAGAGCCCGCAGGCGGTGTCACTCCGGACGGCTCACAGGTCCCGGGCACCGGGCTTTACCCTCCCTCGGGGGCATGAGGACGTTAAGGCCCAGAAGGGTCGAAGGCAGAGATGTGGCCTCACCCCTGGCCGGTCTCTCTCCCCGGATGCTGTTGGTTCCACTGCAGCGGTTTGAGAGAGGGGGAGGGAGGGACAAAGAGAGGGAAAGAGACATCAGTGTGTGGTCGCCTCTCGTGCGCCCCCTTCTGAGGACCTGGCCTGCCACCCAGGCATGTGCTCTGAGGATGCAACCGGCGACCCTTTGGTTCACAGGCCGGCACTCAGCCCACTGAGCCACACCGGCCAGGGCTGCATTATGTTCTTTTTCCCTGCAGCGTTGCCTCTAAGAATAACCCTATCCTTTGACCTTCAGATGACTTTCCTAACCCCAGGCATGAAAGCTGCTCTTGCAGCACCTGGAGAAAGAAGCCCCCACCCCGACCACCACCCCAACACGTTTCCATGGAGATAAAACGTGTCCTTCCTACTTGGTTACTTGGCGTTTGCCTTGTGGCACTTGGGTCTGGAGGAGGGGGCCAGACCTCTGGTGCCCCGTGATGTCGGCTGAGGAATGAGGCTGACCGGACATTTTGTTCTCGTCACAGAACCACGTGAACCCGGCCATGGACTTCACCCAGACCCCGCCCGGCATGCTAGCCCTGGACAACATGCTGTACTTCGCCAAGCAACACCAGGACGCCTACATCCGGGTAAGCCCGCGGCCCCTCCGCGGCCCCTCCCAGCTGGCGCGGGTTTCCTGCGGAGCTTGAGTTCCAGACCTACCCCCTGTGGGGGGTTTCCCATGAGGCGGGTGGCCCGGGTTTTTGGCCTCCATTACTCAGGTCAAACTTGAAGTGAAATCGATCAGGGGCGATGAAGTAAAGACATTTAACCTCTACGTCCTTTCCATACGATGACATTTAAAAATACAGTAACCCTGGAAAACTGTTTTATGTGGTTCAGTGTTTAACTTAGACAAAAGCTCTTAGACATAAATAACAAGGAAGATCAATGAACTATCTACCAAAAAGCTGCCCGATACCAACTTCAGTGGAAACCCTGGAACTATTCCACATCTTGAAAGAGGCTCAGGGTTCTCTCTCGTCCTGCTTCTGTTCAGTGCAGTGCTGGGGACCCAGCGGGCTAAACAGAGGAGTGGGGGTGGTGGGGAGGGAAGAGAAACTCTAGCTACCCACCGAGGTGGACCCCTTTGTGGGCGTGGCAGAGGGAGAGTAGAGGATGCCGCCCGCTGATTGGACAGTGCAGGTATGGGCGGGACCAAGGGAGGATGGAGGGGGCCTCAGGGATGGTGACAGACAGGGCCTGTTCTTCGGGGCTGCTCCCCGGGGGTTCCTGGATTTGTGCTGACACCCGATGCCTGTCCTCAGGGTGGGGTAGAACTAATCGGAGGTTGACAAGGAGTAGGATATGAATAAAGGGGACAAGAGAGCTGGTGACTGGGTAAAAGGTCGGCTGGACCACAACCTAGAAAGTGATAAACCAAGTGTCTAACTCAGGAAGAGTAGGGCTGAAGTTAGAAAAAGGGAAGAGGCTGTTAGTCTCGTGTATCCTCTTCATCCCTCAAGGCGGCGGGCACCGGTTTTCTGGAGCCTGGGGTCTGCGGCCCAGCCCGTGGTGGTCTGGCAGGTCTAGCACTGTGAGTGTGGGCTGTTCCTTTCGGTCTGGGCCAAAATTTCTTGTCTGAACAAGGGAGCAGTATTCTTCTGGGGGAATTTGGAAATGTGCGGGTGAGTTCCTTCGGTTATCGCCATGCTCTGTGGGTGCTACTGGCTCAAACCTGTCATTCAGGGCCAATCTCCACGGTGAGAAATCATCGTACCCAGCAGTGGCCCCTTGAAAAAGTCACACCAGGCCTCAGAGTTCCCTGCAGGCATTAAATCCTGATTTGATGAGTTTTTCTATACATGTACTTTGATCAGCTTTGACTTCTACTGAAGTATTATCTGTAATTTGATTATATGAAGGACTGTATGCATTTCTGTGAAACGTGCGATCAGGTGCTTGGCCAGAAACACAATCTTCCATAAGAAAATTCTTTCCTTTTCTTCCTGTTTTATTGAGAAATAATTGACGTATATCACCACTCTGAGTTTACCACATGTAGCGTGATGGTTTGATTTACATACCTGGTAAAGAAAATTGTGTTTCTTTAAATAAAAGTTGTATTTGGCTTGTAACACGTACATATTAATTGCACAGATTGTTTTCCTAGGGATGTAATCTGCTCTCACAGAAGTCAGTTAGTCTGTTTGAGACGCCGTGCAGCACAGCCTAGAAAATTGCGTGTGAACAGAAGCCGTGTAGAAATTGAATTTAGAATTAATGATTAATGTTTGTGGGTGAATGTTTCTAAAATTAGAGCTCATTGATGCTGAATATATTGCTAATTGCATAAGAAGAATATGTCTTATGAAAAGTAATTTTATGTTTTCAGCCCATTTTCTTCCGTGTGTTCTCTAAACTGTACAAGGGAAAGGACTTACTGGAGACCTGGTAGAACTTTGTGTCCAGGAGGGACTTAAAGGAAGAAGCCTGTTTTTGTGCCCTGACCGGGCGGCTCAGTTGGTTGGAGTGTCGTCCCGTGGACCAAAAGTTTGCAGGCTCAGTCCCCAGTCAGGGCACATACCTACGTTGTGGGCTCAGTTCCTGGTCGGGGTGTGTATAGGAGGCAACTGAGTGATGTTTCTCTCTCTTTCTCTCCCTTCATCGCTCTCTAAAATCAATGCTTGGGTGAGGAATTGTTTTTAAAAAAATCCCATTTGTTTAAAGTACGGCCCTGTCTGTCCGCATGCCCTGTTATGTAGGGGGCAGACATTCCTGTAACTGACATGCCCATCATTTTCTCGGAAGTGCCCTGTCTGCCTCCCGTCTGACTGGGGTCTGAGTGTGTGGGGAGCTAAGGCTGTGCACGTGGACGAGGTCCTGGGAGCGCACGGGAGGTCTGAGGCGTCCTGCAGGAAGGGTCTGTGGTGACGGTGACAGCCAGGTACGGCCGTGCCTGTGCGGCTGTGACGCAGACACGGAAAACAGGCCCCTCGGACAGCTAATTAAACGGTGATCTATGAGCTGAGCCGTCTCTTCTGCAGCGTAAAAACAAGTTCTTTTTGCCAAGTTTACATCTTTATAAAATTTGCCCTTTTTTTTCCCCACCAGGTAAATTTCCTGTCTCAGTGCCGTGATTTATTCATTACTTTTCCCTGTCGATCAGGAAGCGCTTGCTCTGTGCCTGGTTATAGGCCTGCCATCCCCTTTGCCAGGCAGACCTGCAGTGAGATTATGAAAGAAATTGTTACACACACTCGCACACACACACACACACACCAGCGTGCCCTCTTTGAGCTGGGCACCCTACCCCCCACCCCCCATCACATTGGCTCGGACACTGTGCCTTTGAGGTGTCCCAAGCTGTCTCGCGCCTCCTGCCCTGACTCGCCTGCCGCTCACGTCGCCGCGCCCTGCACCGCGGCTGCGCCCGTCACTGCCCGCAGTGGTGCAGGGCGGTCTTCTCTGCCCTCATCCCCGTCGCCCTCCCGTCCACACTGCACACGGGTTGCCGCTCAGCGTTCTCTCCCGCTGCCTGTCTTCCTCTCCCCTTGGCTGTCTCTCCTGGTCACTCCGGTGGGTCTCGCTCCCTCTGCCTGGCCATCAGAAGAACATGATCCCCAGGACTCTGCCTGTGGGCCTTTTTTTCCAATCACTCAGGCTGCACAGGTTTACGGAGTAACCACCCAATGTCCATCAGTGAGCTAGGGGATGGGGACTCCCCAAGGACCAAGTCACTCGTGAGTCCGGTCAGTGAGGAGCTCACTGTTTAGAAAAGGGAAGGAGGGTGTGCTGTGGGGGAAGAAGAAATAAGTATCAGGCACTTTCTGAGTCACTGGGCATGCATGTTGATTGGGGAGGTGGGGAGATTGGGGACCCAGAGGACAGCCATCATCCACACAGGTAGGGAGGTCAAATCGGGAAAGCTTCCTGGAGGAAGTGGTACCTACTCTAAGGTCTGTTGGATGGTTCTAGTTGATTGGGTGAAGGGAAGGGGGTGGGAGAGTACTCCGCGCAGAGGGGAACAGTGAGCAAAGGCGGAACGGCAGGTGCTTTGTTCAGGGAACCAAAAATAGTACCGCGATACGTCTGCAGCGGGGAGGGCCGACCGTGGCCGGGGCCAGAGGGGCAAAAGTAGGCTCATTCATTAGGAATCTTCTAGCTCTCTATAGGGTGGTGTTTGGGCTTTAACCTACAAGCAGGGAAGAATTTCTGAAGTGTTTAAAATAAAGACGATGAGAGTTAATTTTAGAAAAACCACTCTCCTGCCAGAAAACAAATGTGAGAAATCGCGACGAGCAGGGAAAATAAAATTTGGGGAATTATGCAGAAATGATGGTAACCTGAACTAGGGTGGCGGCAGCGGCCCTGCGGAGCAGCCGCTTGAATGAGTCATTTCCGAGCGAAAGTGAACTGCAGGGTCCCGGAGGAGGGAAGAGGGAGATGACTGGCCTGAGCGGACGGATGGACGGCGGCGTCCTCAGTGAAAACGTGCGGGGCTGGGCAGGGGTCTTCGTTTGGAGCTGCCAGACCCTTGCATGCACGTGGGACACCTGTGTGGGGGACCCGTCTGGTAGGCAGTGAGGGAAGGGCAGCGGGGACCACATCCACGGAGACGCTTACATTCTGTGTGCTCTCAGTCCCCGCCCCTTCTAACCCCCTGTCTGTGGCTGCGGCTGGGGTGACCTTTCTGAACCGAGTTCAGCAGGCTTCTGGGGTCACCAGACTGCTTCCGGGGCCACCTCCAGCCCATACGTCCACCTCTTGGGGAACCTGCCACAGGGTGGATTTTCATAATTTCCTGTTCGTTAAGTGAGTCAAGAGTTTTTTTAGTTTCTTTCTAAACGGTCTCTTGCCAATAATCAATTTATGTTTTATCATCCGAGAAGCATGGCCTTTGTGCTTTTAGCAGTTGCTATCTGGAGGCAGGTTTTTGAACATGGATTTATTGACCGGCAGCCTGGTTTTGTATGCGGGTCTTTGAATAAACTCGGCAGCTGTGTCCTAATGGGAGCAGAGGATGTAATTGAGTCACCCCTGCCCCCGCCCGTTCCCCCACCCCGGGGCGGGCACAGAACGCGAGGGTGGGTTGTGAGTCCCAACAGGCCCTGTGCCCGCACTCAAATCGGGAGTCCTGGCGTGAGTTCAGACTTCTGGGCCTTCCCGACTGGGGCGTGCGTGCTTCCACTCTTCCTGCGGACACTTCTCCCAGCTGCCCCAGCAGGGCCCGTCTGCGAGAGGTGCAGGACTGTCACTCGTCCACAGGCAGGACGGTGACACACGGTGAGTGTGGCGTGCCTTTGTTCGCTGCCTTCTTCCTCTCTTTTTTTGTTCTTTCTGCACTGATAAGCTCAGTGCCTCTACTGGAAGTAAAGCGTTTGGACTTACGCATTCTTGGTGTGTTTAACTATTCACGGAGACCTGCGGAGAAACCCAAACGACCTGGTTTTCGCTGGGTGCAGCACTCCTGCTGGCTGTTGTGGGAGCTGGGTTTCGGCCACCAAGTAGGAAGGAGTGACCAGAGCCCCTGAGGCTCCTGCATACACGAGGGCCAGCTCTGAGGGGGAGGCGGAGCCCTAGAAAATACTCAAGGGAGATGCTGCAACGAGCGGAGTGGTTTCAGGATGAAGGGAATTCTTCATCAGAA